TGGTGAGCCGGCCTCAGTTTTCAGCCTTGCTTCAGTTTCACACTTTCTGTCTCAGCCCTCGGTCTGAGCAGACCTTTTAGGCTCGCCAGCCTCGCAAAGAACAGCCTGTGTTCCAAGCCCGCTGGCTTCAGGTAAGTGAGCCCACAGTGCCCACTGCAAGCCCTCGCCAGGGCCTCACAACTAGCCTTGCTAAGTGTAAGTGCCAACTCAAGCCTGACCCCCTAGGTCAGCCTGAGCCCGCAGAGCTCAGTTTCTATTCAGGTTTCACACAAGCCTGGACTCTTAGTCCAGCCCAGATCTTCTGGTTCTTCAAGTTTCACAAAGGGGGTGGAAAGAAAGGAAGCCCGGGCTTGAGCCCGTAGCCCTTTTCAAGCCCTCCTTCTGCAACGCACTCAGAGCAACCCAGAGAAAAGGAGTGAACCTCTGCAGCTGTTTTTAGTGGCTAGCTTTGAACCTAGGAGCAGTGCAAGCCCACAGAACATGAAAATAAATTTGTGCCTGATTGGAATAACTTCAGTCCTGGTGCTTTGCTATCAGTCCATGTACAGTTCNNCATGTGACACAACTGCATTGCATGTTGCTGTTGCCGCTCTCAAGGTTCTAGGATTTAATACTCGAGTGCGCGTAGAGAGTGGAAAGGACAGAGACGCTCGTTCGCCTGGTCGTGAGGTAGTTCATTTTCGGGCCAATCTTAAAGGGGGGAGGGTTTCAAATTCCCGGATGCTCTTTCAGTTGCACTCTACTTTCTGTAGACGTGGCTTTTGTGGAGAAAAATGCTTGGTGGTGAATCAGTGAATGCAGCAACGATTCCACCATCCACGGGCTGCTTATCAGATTCTCATGAATGCGCCCAGCGATCCATTGGATTGAATCCATTCCGCCGGCATCCTCCTACTTGCCTGCCACAGTGTTCCACAAAACCCATCTTGCTGTTTTGGCTTCGAAATCTTCAAATTTTTGCACAAAAGCAATCTGGCGTCTGGCGATCTGCTATACTTGCAGAGCTACCATGATTTCCGTCGTCTGCCATGTCACGCAAGGTCTACGGAAATGCATGCTGTAGCACATTTGTGCTTTTTGCGTCGGTGGCAGGAAAAGGCTTGATAGGTCCTCACACCGCACTCAGTCCGATCACGTTTACGTTGCCCAAGTGTTGCATGGTGTCTTGCCCAAAGGTCTCGTCCATACTTGGCGGAGCTTACAAAGGCAGGAGTCAATGAATGTGTTCAGGCAGCACTGTCATAAACAATGCGAAGCAGCTTAGCAGGCGTGCCAGCTGCTGGAGAAGCAGCGAGCATGTCTCTTAAAGCCACGGATTGCACCGAAGACGAGTACTCCAAAATTGTATTGCATGTTGTTGCATTAAGCTTATGTTGAGAGATAGATGCTGCACCGGCTTTTGGCACTATGCTGCCAAGGCTGATCTTTCTGCCAAGCTTAGACGGGCAAACGGTGAACATCCTGAAGAAAACGACGATCAACTTGGTGGCAGTCGAGAGAGTCAAGCTGAACCAGCTCGGCGCAAGGACGTGCAGAGGGAGTGAGTGCGCAGGCTTCTTGAGCACACGATATCAAGTAGCTTGTGACAAGAAGTCGTCTGCACTGCAGGAGGCATCAGGAAGCAGCACGCCATGAGCTCAACAGCAGAACGTGACATTCGGACACTCTGGTGATTGGGGAAGCCTACAGCTACGTTGTAGATGCTAACTCTGGATTGATGATCTATTCAAATCCGTTGCTGCAGCCCTCGTAATTCGCACAGCAATCCGTCACACGTTCAGGAGGCGATTGGAAAATGCAGGTTGGATTTCATGCAAGAAACAGACATTCCAAGCAGGCGGGACAGGTGAAGTTGGTTGTTGTGCGCTGCGACCAGGAATCTCACATCCTGGCGGTTGGCTCTTAATTAATTGTGTGCTTGAATGTTGACGGTCGCATTAGGAACTACAATTGCTACATGCTACCGGGCTGAACTAGCCTGGTGCTGACCCCAGAGAACCTTTCGCATTTGAAAGCTGACATATCCCTTTCACCAGCTGAAGTCCGACACCCGCCACCTTTCGCTTTCAGCTGCCCCTCCTGCGAGATCATGTGAGCTCCTTCACGCATCCCATGTACAGTACTTTTCAGGTGCGTTTGCAAGTTTTCTGCGATGGAAGGGCCAGCCAAAATTGAGGCGTCGATCGTCCGTCGTCGGCTGCCTACCTTGTGCCAGCGAAAGAAAAAGCGTTTCCATAACCTGCAAAGTCACAATCGGCAGGGAAATGCAGGAGGCAGAGATACAAAACGGAATGACTCCAATAGGCCTGCATTCTTTCCCTGCATGGCTCGGCTGGAAGCCGCAATGTTCATGCTCGAGCAGGCTTGGAGGCGACAAGGGCTCCAAGGCCAGACTGTGCTGTGGCGTTGCTGTGGCATTGTTGTGGTTATGTGTGGCATCGATGGCAACGTAATGGAGTCGTCATGGAGTAGGCATCTGCCTCTGCGATTCCATCCAGACCAACTCGAAAAGGCCGACAAGCAATCATGGGCGCCAAGCCCTTACCCATCTTTAGCCTGCTTAACCTCAAACAGGTTTGATGTGTACGAAGTACCTTGCAGAATCCTTGCAAGGCTTTGAAGCCTGTGTGCTGTCCTCAGCTTAGAGCACAGGTGGTGGGTGGCGGTGAGTCTTTCATACTGGCAGGGACGACCAGCCTGAAGTGACCGAAGAAGCCAAGGCGCACTTGTCCTCGTATTTGCTTCATTTTGCTTCTTCAGATTCTGCAACCAGTTCTCCTGAAGAAGTGAAATCAACAGCACAGACAGCGGTCGCCAAAGATTGATCGCAGATCTAGTCGCAACAAGTGGAATTGTGCCGATACCATCTTGGCTTCGTGTCCATGACGCATTGCCACAGCGAACTGTGGTCCTCCGTAGCAGCGAAAGCTGGAAGCGCAGGCTGGGGTATTGGCGCTCCTTGCTATGTTCAAGGAGCTAGAGGATGTGCCCACAGCCTGCACTTAAATATGTGCTGCATGTCCGTGGAGTATAAGAAGTGCTGCAGGCGTGCCCAGATCAACTACTCTGACAGTCGCATCCATCGGGCTAAGTGTGACTCTGAGACCCGCTTCATGACTTCACGCGCGCATCTTCGATGACCGTTGCAAATGAGGAGTCAGCATGATGGCAAGGATGCCGCAAGAGGCATGGCATCTTCAGGAAGTTTGGTGAGGCCAGGTCACTCGGCAATGCTCTGCAACTTCAGCAGGCGAGGAGTCAGATGATGATGACGGGGCTCCAGATGCAAATCGAGAGCTGCGTCGCGAGGCTTCAGATAGTAGTGTGATGTAGTTTGTACCCACGGGGTGGCCGGAGTCGAGTGAGAGTTATCTGAGCATTTTGGCAGGTGCAGCGAAAGCAGCGCGAACTCAACCAGTTGCGGAAGCGTTGGGCGCTGTGGCCTTGGCCGTCATCCCCTCTTTGAGTCCCCCGTTTGAGTCCGTTTGAGCGTTGAGCCGTTGAGCCTCCCATGGCTACTCCCAGGGAAGACAGAGGAAATCGCGAAAAAGCAGCGGAGTCCTCAACAGTCAATGCTGTCTGAGAGCTTGAAGGCAACCTGAGCATACCGGAGGTGACGCGGCATGCAGCCTTGGCCGGGAGTGCTGTGCGGCTCCTTGCCTGAAAGACAATGGCCTCTAGTCTTGCCGCAATGGTTTCCAGCACGATCTCACATCCACCAACTGCCCAAGCCTGAAAGTTCAGGGCTCTTTCGGAGCCTTTGCAGAACCACCACAAAGATGGTTTGACCATGGCCTGGAGGCCTCACCAAGTCTTAGTTACTAGATCCACGACTCCAGCCAACGTCTTCCAACTTCAATCGGAAAAGATGTCAACTAGCCGAGACCTAGGCATTTTTCCAATGAATGGTAGTGTTGTGGAAGTATCCTATTGTCAGGATTTGCAATTATTGTGTCATTACCCAATGTCATAGCAGAGGATGGTGGGTGTGAGGCGTTGGTTCTGCGAGGGATTACTATTATCATTGACCCTTGCATGCTCAAATAGTGCAGACATCAAAATACTGGAGCCAACGAACATGACTAGCAAGAAGGATTTCTGAAAACATTGGCATGCGCCTGGCGGTGGTTCCCGCCGCATGGCCCTTTCATTTCGACCGTGCTACGTTGCAGGATTCAATGCATACCGCGGTGCATGCCCAGCATTCGCTGGAGCGAGCCATGAAGCTGCTGGGTTATGTTTTCGCACTTGAGAACCGGCAGCCTCTGGCTTCTAAGGAGAAATGTGGGTGTTCTGCATAATCATCCAAAGTACCCCTGTGCTGGGCTGATTCTCAATGTATCCGCTCACGGTTCGTCAAGGCGATAAGCGATCTTCTGAATGCAGCCGAGCAGCATAACTTGCCTCCCCTAAGCGTTGAGAGAGACTCAGGAAGGTAGTCAGGGTGGTTTTTGAGCCATTTGCGCCAGGCAGCTTAACTCCGCGTCTGCCACCGTTCTGTTCGTTCTTGCTCCGAAATCCGACAACTTGTTCCTACTATGCCGGCATCGCGCAGTTGCATCAATGTTTGAGAGCGGCACAAGGAGTTCGGGTCTTTGCAGATTCATCCCTCCAAAGAATAGGTTGCAGATCATCTCGAACATCTCTATCCGAAGCAACGAAGAGGTGTTCATCCCCCTAGACGGAGCGGCATATCCATCAAAACGCGTTTGATAAGGCATCAACATTAATTTGGCAAGCATCAAAAACAATATGACAAGCATCAACAAATAATTTGGAAGGAAGATCAACAAAAATATCTTCCGGATCAAAAAGCTTTCTACTTCAAATGACAGAAAGCAAGAGGTGGTAAGGAAGGAAGGAAGGACGGAGGGAAGGCAGAAAGGAAGGAAGGAACGAACGAAGGAAGGACGGAGGGAAGGACGGAGGGAAATACGGAAGGAAGGAAGGAAGGAAGGAAGGAAGCAAGGAAGCAAGGAAGGACGGAAGGCAGGCACCAAGAAGGAAGGAAGGACGGAAGGCAGGAAGGAAGGAAGGAACGAAGGAAGGAAGGGCGGAAGGCAGGAAGGAAGGAAGGACTGATTTGTATTTCCAAGGCAGGCTGCTCTTCGGGACCTTAAGGATACATAAAGGGTTATAACGGGCATTATGGGGGGTCCTTCGATTTTGACAGAAACTCGACAATCTTGTGCTCGAAGCGAGCGTTGTGTGAATCAAGAGCTGGGCACTACCTTCTTCGCAGCTCAGGCATCTTAGTGGCTGGGTAGGTGCGGAAGTAGTTTATGAAGGGATTTGGCACCCCAATAGCCCAAAGAGGGAGAATCAAGTGTAACAATGGGAACGGCAAATGGAAACAAGCTTCTATTGGGGTTTAGCATGGATTGCTCTGAATGTTTCGTTGATTGAAAGCCATAGCAATTTTTAGACAATGACCCTTGATCCCTATATGGCTCCTGTAAAATCCATAGAAATCTTCAGATGGCCGCAAACCTACCCTATAGGAGTGGGGAGCTACTGAGGACCATATGCGGGGTAAATATCCATTGAAACTTCCCATGTATTCACCGTTTTGATTTCATGTTCCATTTCCTTTTTCATTTGGTTCTCCATCATCCGACTTCTACCACTACTGCTACCAGTACTGCTACCACTACTGCTGCTGCTGCAGCTGCTACTACTACTACTACTACTACTGCCCCCCCCGCCCAGGCACTATGCTTTACTTAAAATTAATCATAGATTCCCCGAGGAGGCGGCTGGTAACAGTAGTAATGTTAATGTAGTGGTTGCTGCCCGGACCTAGCAACAGTGGGTTAAAAGGGGCCATTTTGTAAGGGCTCCACATGGTAATCTTTTTGAATATTATGACACTGTTGTTAGGTGCGGGCAGGAGCGATGCACGCGCCCGAAATTGGTATTTCGGATGCCCGGGTTTTCACCTGCGCTCTCGTAGATGGGCGTCTGAACGCAATCTATGCGCTGTCTGTGCGACTGAACTTGTTCGCAGATTTGCCGCGGCAAGTTCATCATG